TCTGGTTTCAGCTTTGAGCCACTACTCGCAATCTTTCTTCTCTTTTCATGGACTAATGCTGCTGCAGGTATTTTCTCTTCATCTGTTATTTATCATTTTAGCTTAACTTTCCCTCTTCGTCTGTCTTCTTGACCCTCTCTGTGGTGTCCACCCAGGGGGTTTTACAGATCTTTGTTTGCAGTTAGTTATTTCTGGCTGTAAGCAGCTCTTGCATGACTCAGGATGTTGTCAGGGTTTTCAGACAAGCTCTGTCCACTCACTCACACCCTCTGAATTGGCATCACGTCATTGATTTAGTGCCTCATGCTATCCATGATCTTGATTTTCTTTTTCTGCGTGGATGTGTGTTTTGCTTGTCTGCAGCTCTGGAGTGAGATGAATGCATTTATCTTGAGTTTCTGGCGACAGGAAGATGATTTGCATATATGATAAAGGGATTTTGTCTGGGTGTGGTGGAGATTTTGTGCAGCTGTGTGTGTTTGAGCAGAACCCGCTTCTGTGGTTTATACTAGTGCTACTGTAATTGCTCTGGGCGTTATGTAAGATAAAGCTGTTGTTCATGACTTTTAGATCTCATTCTTTGAATCACACCTGCATTTTAAATCATTTTTGCTTAGATTAATTAGCCATAGGTGACGCAGTAGCGTAGTAGTTAGTGCTGTCGCTTCACAGTAAGAAGGTTGCTGGTTCGAGTTTCGGCCGGGCCTGTTGGTGTTTCTTGAGTTTGCATGTTCTCCCTGCGTTCGTGTGGGTTTCCTCTCTGTGTTCCTGCTTCCCCCACAGTCCAAAGACATGCGGTACAGGTAAATTGGATATGCTAAATTGGCCGTAGTGTGTGTACCTTGTGTGTGAATGAATGTGGAAGATGGAAGGGCATCCACTGCGTAAAACATGTGCTGGATAAGTTGGCGGTTCATTCCGCTGTGGCGACCCTAGATTAATAAAGGGACTAAGCCGAAAAGCCGAAAATTATAAAAACATTAAGTCAATTTAATGCATTCTTATAAAAGTACTAATCGTAAAAAAGGCCAAGATTTCGGACGGCTCTTGTTTTGAATTATTGTATAATGATGTCAGCAATTCAAATACAGTATTACACAATATCTGAGGTGCATTCCGCAGATAATATTGTACTATGAAACCTCTTGTTGGGACAGAATTGAGATCTGTCCAGGCATCATCAGAGAGCACAGTGAGGTGTCATTGACCTGCTGGTGCTGACAGCACTGGGCAGAGGTGAGAGTATTCTCGTTTGTTCCTGGCTGTTCAGTGTTGCATACTCTGCTCATTATCCCCGACTGACAGCCTCATAGCTCACATTCCTCACCCAATCCGAATGCAGTTTCTCTTGTCTTTCTCAGATCATCCCGCAGTGTCAGCTCCGCTTCAGCCTGTCTGCCTCTCCCTCCCCCGTCAAAGTGGTCTATTAATTCACACAGCCACGGGTGGGTGTGTCGTGTCCTCCTCAGGACGTGCCGTAGCACAGACGCCACACCCCAATCCGCCACAGGCCTGTACCAGCACCATCTGCAGAGCCTGTGCCATCACCTCCTCTATGTCCCACAGAGCCTTTTCTGAATGCGAGACACGACACCGAATCCCCAGGCTATTGTTATTATTGCAATACCCTGGAAAACGATACTGGGAGTGAAAAATACACAAGTGAAAGAGGTGAAAACAATCGGTCGCTTTTGAAAGGGTGTGTTGTTGACCACTGCTGGGCTTTTCAGAAGGGTTGTGGTGCCCTCTTGTGCTTGTTAGTTTGAATGACAACTTGGTGAGAATTGAAACTGGAAATTTTGCCTCCTAGTGGTGGGTGATGGTGTTACTTCAGTGACTCTCCTCTTACCACAGAGGAAATGATTGATTTTTGGCAGTGATTCCTGGCTAAAAGCATGGATTGTGCAGAATGGTCTAAGCTCAGTGGAGCTCTGCAGTTTCCTGTTGATTTAGAAAGCCACGCTTTGAGCAGAGATTCTTAATTAATTCTCTGGGCTTTTTTTTATACTTTAGAAAATGCCTATGGTATTAATTAATAATGTTAGCAAGGAGTGACTGTTAATTCAGTGAATTAGCACTCACATGGATTATGTGAAGATTCACACTTGTTCAGGTTTTGTTTAGGTTTGAGTATAGTAATATATTTTGTTTTAAAATCCACATTTATTTGCACCAAAGCAGAGTAATATTTTGAAAAATATTTCTTATTAAATATTATTTTAATACTACATAAAGTCCAGAAGAACAGGCTTTATTTAAAATATTTTTGTGAATAGTTTTAAAGGCTTATATATATATAAAGGCTTATAAAGCATATAAATGGCATCATGGTGGCTTAGTGTGTAGCACAATCTCCTCACAGCAAGAGGGTCGCTGGTTTGAGCCCCGGCTGGGTCAGTTGGCATCTCTGTGGGAAGTTTGCATGTTCTCCCTATGTTCACGTGGGGGTGCTCCGGTTTTCCCTACAAGTCCAAAAATGTGGTACAGGTTAATTGGGTTAGCTAAATTGATCGTAGTGTATGCGTGAGAATGAAAGTGTATTGATGTTTCCCAGTGATGGATTTCAGCTAAAAAAGCATCCGCTTTGTAAAACATATGCTGGATAAGTTGATGGTTCATTACGCTGTGGTGACTTCAGATTAATAAAGGGACCAAGCCGAAAAGAAAATTAATTAATAAAGAATATAACTGACAAGTATACAGGATTATACGATGACATACACGCTGTTGCTTTTGTTGAATTTAAAGGGATAGTTGACAAAAAAATTAAGAAATGCTTTTCACTTTCAATCTGCCTGTAGCTGTTGAAATCTATTTCATAAATGATCAAATCCAAAGTTTCAGCTAACATTTTGTTCTTCCGAAGAAGAAAACTCGTGTATGCCTAGGTTTGGATTTTTCAGAACTGTTCATCTTTTAGTCATTTTGAAATTTGAATGCCAACTCTGAAAGTTGGAGATATACTTCAAAAATAACCTTTTTTATTTGCTCTGTGCTCATACAGTAGGACTGCACGATATATAGTTTTAGCATATTGCAATGTGATCATACGCAATAGTCACATCAGAAGTTATGCAATGTCGAGTCTGGATTTTAATTTATTATTTGCATGTGTTTTTTAGGCCTGTGATTGTATTATGCATTGTAAAGCATTCATAAGAAATTGTTCCATTTGTAATTTTAAAAGCGATGAACGATGTAACTAAAATGTTTGTAACTAAAACATTTTAATCAGTGAATGAACAATTGAATTATTTTATTTAATTAAATAGTGTTAGACTGGAAAACGAAAAAAAAACGCTTTTAATTTCAATTCTAACTTTTTTTTTTATTTTGTTTATCTATGCCTGTAGATTCCCAATCCATCTAAAATGATCAATTCTTTCCAAATAGACATCAAGTCATTTGGTGAAATTGTCATATTGCAATATATAGTGCTCCGCATAACTGTATGGAGTACATCCCATTTAAAAAAAAAAAAGAATATTTGTATCCATTTCTCAGTAAATATAGGCAATGTATTAGGTGCATTTAATCAAAACAGATTTATTAAACGGATATATTTATTAAAATAATATTTAGTCACCAAAAATATTTAGAAATTGAAAGATAATACAATTAAAGTAAAGCAAAATATTGCAAAAAACAAAAATCAACCTACAAAATTTCTAAAAGTTTTTACTATTATTTTGCTGCTTTTGATTTTTTTTTTATGTAATATTTTTTCTATAACACACACATTTGGGTGTACTAGTTTTTGGATTGTTATCGTAAGTTATAGTTTCAAGGTTTAATTCTGGCACCTTTCCTGTTTAACCTTTATTTGCTCCCACTGAGCCAAATAATGAGAAAGAACCAAATCTCCTACTTTGCTAATGATACTCAGATCTTCTTAGCCTTACTGCCTAATGACTTCAGCCCCATTGACACCCTCTGCCAATGCATTAATGAAATTGACAGTTGGATGTGCCAAAACTTTCTTTAGTTAAACAAAGAGAAAACTGAAGTCATTGCGTTTGGGAACAGAGAATGCAGACCTTGACTCTAAGGCTCAAACAACAAAATATAAAGTCAAGAATCTTGGTGTGATTCTGGAGTCAGATCGGAGTTTCAATTGTCATATCAAAGCAGTAACTAAATCAGCATTCTATAATCTCAAAAACATTGCAAGAATTAGATGCTTTGTTTCCAGTAAAGACTTGTTCATGCTTTTGCCAGCAGCAGTGTGAATTACTGTAACAGCCTCCGCATTGGTCTTCACAAAAAGACAGACAGTCAGACAGTTGCAGCTCATCCAGAATGCTGCTGCCATGATTCTGTCCAAAACCAAAAAACAGAGCACATCACACCTGTCCACAGGTCCTTACACAGACTCCCAGTTGCATTTCGAATAGATTTTAAAGTATTACTACTTGTCTATAAATCACTAAATGGCCTAAGATCTCAATACATTACAGAAATGCTCACTGAATACAAACCTAACAGATCACTCAGATCTTATAGGATCAAATAAACTATGCAATCTTAGTATACAGCAAAGGTGTGGAGTGGCACAATGGTGAGTCTTTGCTCTTAAACTGATATACGTTCCAGTGTTTGAACTCTGACTGTATATAGGAAGTGCCAAGGCCTTGCGTCATTTCCTCAAGCTTCTCTCTCGGCGCTTCTGTTTCCCCTCTCCGCCCTACACCTCTGTATCTGACAAAGAAGAGCGAACTCCTTGATGCTCGCTCCGAATCTTCCAGCAATCAAATTTGCATCGTCATTCAAAGTTTAAGAGCATCAGCAGCGCAGCCTTCAAAACATCCTCTGACAGCCTCACATGTGCACGTCTGCATCGCACCAACGTTTTCTCTGGAACAGCTGAGCAGGAGAAGCAACTGTGGAGCTGTCCATCTCCCGGCCTGCATTCTTGGGGGTGGGGAGAAAGTACCAGCGGTGGTACTTGGGGCTTTATATTTAGACCCTCTTCCACGACAGCTGTCTTGCTCCTGCTCCTCCTCTGACAGAGCAGCGTCAGGAATAGCCTATCGCTTTGCACCGAAGGCTGCCGGTTAGTGTGACGTGGGCCTTTTGGTTCTCAGGACTGTCTCGTACATGCGTCTCGCCACTTTAGGCTGGCGTTTGGCTCTACTCTGACCTTGGTAAGAGAGGTACGCTGACTGTTTGGAGCTGCTGTAAAGGGATCTCAGGTAAGGCGGCGAGTGCTGCTCATGGTCCTGAATGGGGCATCAATAGATCTAGACCTGTTGAAGAGTTTTGTGGGGCTCAGTGCACTGCTGTGGTCTGCTCTCAGGCCTGATTTGTCACCTATTTTTAGGCTTGTGTGTGATGGCATGCTGGGACCAGTGACCGGTGAGCAAGTGCTAATGCTAAATCCAGTGAGTCTCATATATTTTTTGTTTAAAATGTGAATTAAAAGAGAGGTTTTCTCCTACTGTAGAGTCATTGTGTTTTTCCGAAAGTGGAATGAAGTGCTCGATTGGCATTTCTGTTGTTGTGCTGAAGTCTGCCATGCTCAATAGAGGCTTTTGTTTGAGTTGGTTTGCTCATGTGGAAAAAGGTAGTGGCATTTTAGCTGTTAAGTTTTGGTTGTTATTGGCCTCTTGAGATGAATGTTTCAAATGGGCCTTATTTTTCGGACTTCTGCGGCTATTTTCCAATGCTTCACTTCAAAACAGCTACTGTCAAGTGTTTGATAGATGAAGTCAGTGGGTTATTTTGTGTATACAGGCATTGGATCATATGCTTCACAGTCTGTCTGCTGAAGCTTTAATTGATGTGGCCATAAACTTTCAGCTGTTCATTTATATCATTTTATGTCTGCATTGTTGAGCCAAATTGCTATCGCTGACCTGGATTTAGTCTGTTTGGTATAGGTTACTTATCAGGTCAACTATAATTTGGTACAGGATTTTAATTTAGTTTTGTTGGTTAAAATCTGCATGGCATTAGTTGCATTGTTTTTTTGTTACAGTGTAACCTTGTGTCCTTAATTTCTTAGGTTTTTAATTCTAAAGTCCCCTGTTAACTGATAAAGCCACTTTAATTTATATATACTATATGTAATCTTGTTGTAAATGGACAAATGATCTGTTATTATGTTTTGTCCTATTAAAATGGTAATACTACATGTTATAATACTAGAATCCAGATCTATACAATCTGAAAAGTTTTATTTGGGGTTTTCAGCAGTTCTAGCCAGTAGATTTACGGTGTTCACACAGGCTTGGTTTGATTGAGAGGGTTTTGGTTTTTGTTTTGAACGTTAGCTAAGTTCCAATGCATAATATGTCATTAAAGTCTTCTTTATGACTTGTTGACAGTTTGAATGCTAGAAGCTAGCAAGGAATAAATACATCTCATCATTCGAAATAAACTACACTGCATTATTAATGCTTCATTTTCAGTGTTAATCTGCTGTTTATAATATTAATAATAATAATAATAATAATAATAATAATAATAATAATAATAGTAAAGTTGAAGTATTGTTTTTGCAGCTGGCCTACAGTGTGTTGTATAATGTTAGCTGGTTTATGCCCATGTGGCTGCTCTTAAAAAACGTCTGCTGTCAGTATCACAGTGCTCTGTCAACAGATAAGCATGCCACGGGTAACTTTTTATAGCTGCAGTGTGTCTGATGGCTGGGAGGGCTGGGGAAGGGTCATTGGTGGCGTGAGGGGCTTTAGTGGAGACCAGGGTGCTGATCTGGAAATGGGGTTAGAGGAGAGAACGGCTGCTACAGCATAATGGCCTAATGGGGGATCCCAGAGTAATCCATGCAGCTCATACTGAACTGGTAGCGTGGAAATGACTGAAATCTGTTTGTGCTTATAAGCAAAAGCTATCTGGATAATTTTGGCTGAAAGTAAAAGTAAATTCTGTTGTTAAATCACCCATGTATCATCCCAAAATAGTGTAACTGAATAAATAAGGCTCAAGATCTCTTTTGGTTAATTGGATTACAAGTAGTTTTTGTTTACTGTTGGAGTTTTCTATTGTTGACGTGAACACTTTTTTTGAGGTGTATGGTTGTGTAGATAAGCCTTTTCTGATTGAATTTGTTATTGTGAAATAAGTTTGCAAAACTTTGATATGTAAACGAGGCAATGGCATGTTATTCAGAAAACCACAGTTTTTTGTTTTTGCTGAAACCTCTGAAAAACTATGCCAATCACTGTTGGTGTGTTGTAATCATGACCAGTAAGAGAACATGGTGCTTTTCAACTTTCAGACCACACTTGCATGTCATTTACACCAGAAAATAGTAGACTAGGGCTGCATCATATTGGAAAAATCTCTCATTGCGATATTTTGCTTAGCTGCGATTATATATGTTGATATGGAAACAATTTCATTAGATGGCTGGAATAGCTCTATTTGTGAAAAATCATTCATTTAGATTGGGTTGATTGAATAGGGGTGTAAATCATGTATAAAAAATAAAATCGCAAGAGTAATTACAATAAAGCAACGAAAAAAAGTAAAATAAACAGTGCTTTATGGTTTTATAATATGATATAATATAACTATATTATACAATTATAATCCCAACTCAACGTTGCATATCTTGTGATGTGACTATTGCGGACACACACATTGCAATATCGATGCTGAAACGATATATTGTGCAGCCCTATGGTAGACCTCAAATATACTGTAGATGCCCAATGAGCATTATTAGTCACGTATCATGATTTTTTTTGTCTGTACACTCTTTATTCTGCAATGCGGCAGCTTTTTCTGGGATTGTTTTAATACTTCCGATTTATTTGTCGATATAATAAACAGCAGTAAATGGTCAAACTACTTGCTCTACAAACAATTGTGTTTAAAAAAATAATAAATATATAAGAAAATGCAGGTTTCATCATAAAGCAGCATAGTTTGGACACCCGAGTCTGGAGAAGGATCATTTTTTAAATTTTAACATGCCATTTTAAAATGAATGCACGCAATGTCTTAGAGTCGTGTCTAGCTAGTACACTTTAACAGCAGGTCCCGTAAAGCTCTCTTAAGAATGAGATCACTAAGCAGAGAGTAGATAGCTGTTCAAATGCAGTCAACTACAAGGGTGTCTGCTCTTTGAAAGCAGTCTAGCCGAATACATTTTTTACTACCACTAGGAGTGGTTGAAATTGTACAAGCTCAACTTTTAAGACCCTGTTTGTCCATTTTGAAAAACATGCCTAATAGGTGTAACAAGTCCAAGGTGATCAGGGACTTTTATACGTCCAAAAAGAATCATAAAATATTGTCTGATACACTATAGGCTTTCAACCAATGCTTGGCAGGGTTAAATATGTAAAATGTGAAATATAAGTAGTTTGTGGGTCCTTTAGAGAGAACTTGAATTGTGTCATTATTAACCAGCGTCCACAGCACTGATAGTCACTGAATTCAGACCGCAGCTGTGCAATGAGCCTTCATGTCTTAAAATTACAATATTGAATCCTTCCTTAATGTCAAACGTAAATTATTATGCAACTTGAGGCAGATCCCAGTGTGTTTAACCACTTGTTTTTACCCAACAGAGCCAAGAACCGCCTCCTCTTTCCAGCATTGTGGGTCTTGTTTATCTGAAGTTTGTGACCTCATATAACATAACTGTGAAGACCAGCATCCATTGTGGCAGCCTCTTGTCTGCTGGTCGCTCCATCTGTCACTCATCTTTTCACCCCGTCTTCCCTCCCTCATCAAACCCTTACCCGGCCCAGCCCATGACAGCAGCGTTGCCAGCATGGCATTCTCATCACGCTTTTCCTTCTGGGAGCAAAAGGAAAGTGATGTTCCATTCTCCATTTTCATCTTTCTGCACTGTGTGACATCAGCTAGGTGGTGTGCATGAAATGTGTAGCAATGCACAGTGGTGCCATGTGCACGGTTCATGACTGCACAGTTTCTAACAGTCTCTGTTCAAGGCATGCATGTGTATCTATGTGTTCAGGGCAGATGGAAAACTCGAATCGCTGTGTGAAAATGCTTCATCGTCATGGGAGAGTGTACCTCTCTGACACTGCTCTTTTGATTACATTTTGAAAAGCTGCCACTGACTCACACATGGCAGTAAACTGATGCTTCTGCTTAAAATGTATAATTAGAAATGGCAGGCACTGTAAATTGGTGCCTTATTAAGCTTCAATTTAGTTATACTTCCTTGAAAAATATATATCCTGCATGAAATATGTTGGATTCATCTGCATAATTAGCACAGCATAGACTTATTGTTCTTAGTCAAATGCTAATGACCTTTTCACATGGACGTTTATAGATCAAAGAAGAGAACAAGCCAATCCCCAAGGGCTCAAAAGACAATGTAAGTGGCCAGATATTCTGCATACTAACAAATGAAGTATTGCAGCACTTTTAGAGAGTACTGATGTTCTTATTGAAACAGAAGAAATGCAAATTGAAAAGCACTCTGTCTATTTATTGTTAGTTGCACATATCTAATTTGAAATTTGCAGTTATTATGTTCATTATGATATACTGCCAGCTCCAAGTCTTTATTTTTTTTATTTTTTTTATTTATTTATTTTTTTTATTTTTTTTTTAGCTCCAAGTCTTTATGTTTTCACACATGATGCTAAATTGTTGTCACAGGAAGCCTGTATAGGTGGCATCACACTTAAAGAAAAATTATTTCTTTAAGAGCCGATCATTTCCCAGTAGAATTATATAAACATAATTTATTTAATGTATATGAACCATTGATTTCTCAAAATCACACCTGCTGCATAGTAATTCGTCTCTAAATGGTTTTGAAGATGGAGACATTTTGTTTGAATCTTTGTTGTTCTGTTGATTGATGTGCAGCTGCTGTGCTTCACCAGCTGTGCTTTTGTGGTTAAATTAAGACCCTGGAAAAGCAAACTTATTATCAGTAAACCACCTTAATTAAAGTTCTGAGTCAGTATCTCAGTGTGATTTGAAGTGTTAGTGGATTTTCAACAAAAGCCTCCATCTATCATTTGTGTTCTCTTTTTATAAGAGGAATTTGTTACATTTTAAAAGGTTTTGTAATAAGCAGAGTGTTTATAGTAGCATTAAAATAGTATTCAGCAATGAGCTACATACTACTGCTGACAGATCTTTGTCTATGTGTGTTCAGTATATATCATAAATACAGTGACAGAATCTACTGGATAAGTGTGTAGGAGTCAAGAAACAGCAGGGTAGGGTGAAAGGGTGTACTTTCAGTCTGAGTGTACAAAGCTTGAAAACATGTTCTGTGCATGAAGTGAATTATGCTGCAGTTCACCTCCTCTGCTTATCTACTGAATACAGAGCTGTTGTGTAATGTCAATAGAAATCAGCATTCTTCTTCCCTTTCACCTAGTTTATTGTGTTGGGCAGCATATTGGTTTCATTTAGTTTTGTCTTTTGGGTAGAATATACAATATTTACTGTGTTAACTTTTGTTTGGAAGGCTGCCATCAGAAAAAAAATTTAGGGCTTCAGTCATAAAACAGGAAATAACTGAAACAAACCTTTGAGTGTGTTGATCACATTCTGTTTATTGATTTAATATATTGATTTCAAAATCTGTTTGTCTTCTTGACTTTTCTGCATCTACTGTGTCTGGGTGTGGGTGTACAGTCTGACAGTGATGGCAGCCTGAGTAGCCGCTCCCAGTCAGTGCCCAGCCTAGAGCCTGGCAAAGGCCTTCTGCGTACCAAGAGTCCTCAGCCTGTTCAGGACAAGCCAGCAGAGGTCCAGTCCCAGCCTCAGTTCAGACGTGTTAAAAGCCCCTCACCCAACAGAGACAAGATGGCGACCAGAAGGTTTTCTGAAGTGCCCAAGATGCCAGAGCGCTTCAAAAGCCCAGAGCCTCCTCGGTACTCCTTAAGTCCTGAACCTTTTTTGAATGGTGAAAGCAAAGTCAATCGTGCTGTCAATGGCAGTGTCAAGACTACACCTTTTACCAGCCAACCCGAACTCGTAGAGGACTTGCAGGATGGGACACGTAAGAACGTGGTGAAGGTAATGCGCAGAGTTGTTAGAAGGGTAGTTTCTTGTGAAGAAGACACACCAATTCAACCTGCAGCCTTGGTCCCGGAACAACCTAAACACAGTTTAGGACCACCAAAACCTGAACCAGCATCTGTACCAAAAGCTGTGAAGGTGCCCATGTTCTCATTCAAACATGATACCATAAAGAAGGAGGAAAGAGACGATATTGCTGCTGGACTAACCAGCCTGATGACGAGAGGCAGAACTAGGGAACCTCGTCCACGGATCCGCAAGGATGATCCTGTAGAAAAAGATGTAAAACCTGTAGAAAAATCTCAAGAGAAGGAAATTTCTGGACCAGCACCACATAAAACTGGGCCCAAGATGGAGCCCTCCCAGCCTCTAAAACAAGAGCAACAGACATCACCACCTGCTACTACCTCAACAACTACAAAGTCTCCTGTTTCTCCATCAGCGGGATTCATCCCACCCCCCAAACCCAATCCACTCTCTCCATTGGGATTTATTCCTGCACCCAAACCATTAGGATTTATCTCCAACTCAAAACCACCGACCCTCTCCTCTCCTTCAGGCGTTGTTGCTACACAGAAAGCAGCTTCTTTAAATTCTGTTCCTACCATTTCAACTCCAATTCCAGATCCCAAAACATTGCCTGTTATCTCTAGTTCTATACCTGCTGTCCCCAAAACAGCTGCTACCTCTGCTCCAATCGCTTCTGGTAAATGCAACACTCCTAACCCCCCAGCTGCCAAAAAAGATCCATTTGCCCCTCCAACAGGGTTCATTCCCACCCAAAAACAGATGCCTGTAAAGAAACCAGAGGTATTGGTCACGCTAATAACTTGGATGCATGGGTTGCTTTACTTAATTTAACCGTGTGATGAGTGTACTAATGTTTATGCCCTGTACCAGTAGTTCTGGAGTTGTACCACCTGGTTTTGCCTGCAAATGAGCATGTTACTCTAATTTTAGCTGATTACATTGTTTCCTTAGTACACAGATCACCTTCTGTCTATATTCTTGTGGTTTGTATCTCTTGGAGGTATTGATGATTAAGACATATGTTGTTACTACCTTCTTCTCCTTTTTTTCTGAGTGGCCTTTCTTGTCTCTGTAGCTTTAGCAGATCTTTCAATTCAGTAGTGGAGTGTGTTAAGATCAGTCAACCTCAGAAACTCGTTAACTTGTTTTGGGCAAGATCAAGAGAAACTTGCTTCTGTGTGGACCCTAGCAAGATTATAGACAGTAGACTACATCTTTAGGAGTTGGTGGTGTTATTTCTGTTTCAAAGAACAGTGTAATGGAAGCTTGATTGTTGCTTGGTTGTGGTTTGGTTCTCTGCATGGCCAGGAAAAGCTGGTGGACTAATTTTTGATTGGTTACTGACATCAATCCCTTAAAGGATTTGACTTTTATTACTTTGTGTGTGGTTTGGACATGATATTTGAAGGTGAAGACAGCTGCACATATGCCCCCGATTTCAGCAGGGAGATCTTTTCCTGGAAACATTTCTAAACCCACTCTACCAACCTTGTCAAAAAAGGTGTGTTTGTGTGCACATGCATTTTGCGGAGTGGAGCATGGCTAACATAAACACTACACTTTGCTTGCTTCCATCCAGATTTTGTTGTAAAGCTTTTACAATTTATCCTATTGAATAAATTGCTGTCAGCTACATAACATTTCTCAATAACACAGCCATGTGCATAGTTAGACTCACCCCTTCTTGGTGGTCTGACCTATAGGAGAGTCCGCCACTGAGTCCCACAGAAGAAGCACAGAGACGGCTGGAGAGGATCTTCGCTGCATCTGTAATGCCTGGCCATTCTTTCTCCTCTTCTTCTGTTCACTTTCTGTTTCTTCATTTCTGCTGATTGGTGTTTTTCATCTCTGTGTCTCTCTCTCTCTGCTAAAATGTGCTTTATCAAGACTGTTTTACGTGGCTCTAACTGCACTGAGTGTAGGCTTATAAATAAGGCACTTTAAGGCTTGACAGCTTTTATGCTGACTAAATACTCAAGGGGAAACGGTTTAATACACTACATTGTTAATGAGGAAAAGGGGATTTAAGGACATTAATACAAGCAGAGTAACTACATCTTGCCTTCATATGTAATAGTTATTTTCTCAGTATTTAGAACTATTTTATATCTATATTCAAAAGCTCTAGTACGGTGGTTCTCAAACTGTGTGGTATATGTGCTTCCTTCTAGTGGTACGCCAAGAAATACTGAATAATGAAAGAAAAAAATAATAACACACTTTTGACCCTTTGACATGAACGATTACACTGATGTGATCAGCTCCGGCTGTGCCATAAAGCGCACGATCACATCGGTGTTCTTAGAATGTTTACTTTAGTTCATCGCATTATCAGATGCTAAAAATCAACAATTTATCTGGATGTGATTCAAATGTCGCAAGACACAGAACGTAGACCCAAGCGACTTTTTAGAATATAGCCTAATTAAAGTTAGTCTCTGTTTGCGGTTAACATAATCTTCACAGTTCTCTTAAGATGAATGGATAAATCATGTATAAATTGTGAATTGTGAATTGTAAATGACGTGCAGCAGATCTAATTTCTAATTTAAATGCCTAATTCCAAATGATTTATTTTAAAACGCTAGTTAATGTTTCGATTTCAAAGATATACAAATGTCATGTGTACATGCAACACATATTTAAAAGTGTTATGGTTTTAAAAATGGTTTATATATGAATATGATGACATATAGCCTATATCTTTGAGGTCAAAGCAACATTTTTCAGGTTTTGATGAATAGGTTACTATTTGTGAATACTTTACATTTAAGCAGAGCAGTTTTCTTTTTACTTTAAGAACTGTTGTCTACCATTTTTCGTTAACTTTTAAAAGCACATTTTAAAATTAGACTTTTTATTTATTCATTTATTTTTTACCTATAAGCACAGTGCAGTGTTAATGTTCAAACTATTTATAATGTTTAAATTGGCTGACAATAACAAATATTCTTCATTCATTCATTAATTTTCTTTTCAGCTTACTCCCTTTATTAATCTGGGGTCGCCACTGCGGAATCAACCGCCAACTTATCCAGCATATGTTTTTATGCAGCGGATGCCATTCCAGCTGCAACCCATCTCTGGGAAACATCCATACACACTCATTCACACTCATACACTACGGACAATTTAGCCTACCCAATTCACTTGTACCACTTGTCTTTGGACTTTTGAGGGAAACCAGAGCACCTGGAGAAAACCCGCGCGAACGCGGGGGCAACATGCAAACTCCACACAGAAATGCCAACTGACTCATCCGAGGTTCGAACCAGCGATTTTCTTGCTGTGAGGCAACAGCACTACCTACTGCGCCACCGCCTTGCCACAAATATTCCTATGATAGGAATTAATCTGCCTCGCCGTCATGGTGGTACTTGGCCAATTTTTTTCTGAGGTTGTACTTGATGAAAAAAGTTTGAGAACCACTGCTCTAATGAATTACATAGTTTTAAACATCTGGACTTGGTGTTACCCAAATTTCTAAAATATACTATGTATTTTTTGTCTATATAGCTTACTTTTAGATTATTGGCGCTAATCTTTTGGACTATTTCAGCCCAATTCTGTCATTTTCAAGGCCCTGTATATTTGGGATGCTACCTTATAGTGTAAGTGCCTATATGCAGAAGAAAGTATACAACAAAGCAGTTCACTAGGCGTTAGACATGAGCTTGTATTGTATTATGCATCATGGCTGCTTTGCTAAGACCAATAAATAGGCGTTTTTCCTTTTCTGAAATACTTTTGGAAAAGCCTTAGCATCCTCTACTGAGCTTAGACATTGATGTTTTAGTGATGGGTCTCTTAAACCCCACGTCTGTTTTTAGGCCCTATTTTATCCCCTTTTCATGTTTGCTGTCTTCTGCACAGCTTCTAGCAAACAGGTTTTCATCAGTTCATGCATGTCCATCTCACCCTCATGTGCCTGCTGTCTTTTCATCTGGATACAAGTCTCATTTCTTCCTCTCTCTCTCATCTACTGCTGTCACTTTGGCTGTGATTGTTTGGCTGGCTGGTGTAGCTGGAACCTGTGGCCAGTGCCTCTGCGTCGTCTCAGGTACAGGGCCCCTCTAGGGATGGCTCTTCCCCCACTGCGCCCCTCCATGGCTTGGCAGGAGTGTGCGCTCGTATGACCTGTTGGAGTGTAAGCCCTCTGTTCCTCTTTCTAACTCACCCCCCCACCCTCATCATGACTATATATGCAATTGTGCTTGCATTGTCAACTGTTGTCTGACAAAAATGATTTATGACTTTACTGCTAGATGTTAGCATTTTAGCTAGCTGAAAGGAAGTATTTGCTTATTTAACATATTTTGGATTGTTTGTTTGTGTGTTGCTTATGAATGATCATTTTAAGCTAGCATTTTTATGAGGTGCATGGTGACTGCATGAAACCCTGAAAATGTGTCATTTTTTGCTTCTGTACAATTGATCCGCTTTTATTGAATAGCTGTGGGTGTGCTCTCTGATTGGTTGCTGTCTTCATGAATATCAACTTTTGATGCCTCATGCTTTACATTACCTTAGTTATACATTACCTCATATCACCAATATACTGTCTTATATCCTGGTGTGCATATGTGCTAACAATGCTGTTGGTTTTGTTTATTGTATTTTTACAGTAGATGTCTATAGTCACTCAGACCATGTGGATTGAAATTGAATGCAGCTGTCAAATAATTGCATGGGTGAATCTCATGAAAATTGTCATATACATGCGTACAATCATATATTATAGGGCTGGGCGGTTTGGCCTAACATCTCGATTAATTGAACATTTTAACTTGATTACGATTCATTAATTATTTGAAAAAATCAACCTGGAAGTATTAGATTGATTATAGGTTATGAATGTCAAATTACTTTTCGATTAATCGCCCAGCCCTAATGTATTAGTTTTTACATTGCATAATTTAATTTAAGGCTTTCATTATCTTAAAGGTGTAAAGCTGTCTTAATTTGTTTTCCTTAACAAAAATAAATGTCATTATTGGGTAGGGCTGGGCCAATTGGCCTAAAATCTAAATCTCGATTAATTGAACATTTTAACTGGATTATGATTAATGAATGATTATTCTATTTTTTTAATTTATGTTTTTGTCCTCATGGTTTACTGATAAGTTTTGTACAGTAAATATGCTCACATATTACAAGTGAGAGATTTTTGAATGAAGAGTGCATTACTTGATTTTAAAATAATTAAGCAACTAAAATTAAAACACACATTGCATAAAATGCGGCTCTATGCATCATCACAGCTACCAAACCAACCAATCACAAAAGCTTGAGCTACTTGTCGTTATTATGTGTAAGTCAATTTTTTTTAAAAGGTGCGTGGGTATGCAAAGGCTGCTCCGGACTGTACTCGTGTCCTTGGCAGAAGTATAATATTATAAGTATAATTCATAATATAATAAGTATAATTCAGCCTTAACACAGCGGGGTCATGTGACTCTACACATGTTAGGGAAAGTAATAAAAAAAATGTCCTGGAAAAATTTTATTGATTATAGATTCTGATTGTCGATTACGATTACTTTTCGATTAATCGCCCAGCCCTATTATTGGGTCACCAAACTCTTCCGAAGTTTGCATTGGTATTGTGTTGTCTAAAAATGTAAATAAACATGTCTGGAAACATGACAGCTTTTTAAGCGCAGTTTTTATGAGGGTTAAATGTGACTTGTGTCATGTTAAATATGACCTGTATTTGACTGCTTTCATGAGATTTTTCCATACGTAATATTTATTTAAAGAGCCCATATTATGGGTTTTTGAAAATTCCCCTCCATGTAGTGTGTAACACAGCTCTAAGTGAAGTGAAGTATCCAGCTAAGGCTTAAATCTGTAAGAATACAGTGTTTAAAACTGTTGATTCATCTATAAAAGAGTCGAATCATAGTGCTTCAAACGAGTCGCCTTGATACCGACTCATTAGGTGTTTCGCCATGACGTACGAACGAAACAAAGTTTTTCACGTGCACGCGCAAACCCGGGAGATTTCAAACCTGAGGCCCCGCCCTCTGACGCAGTAACCCAGACACACACACACACACACCCACAAACACACGCACACCCACAAACACACGCACACAAACATGCCGGTCGATTGAAGTCACACTGCAGATGGATATATTGAGTCTCTACCAATGACTGTAAAAAATATGGACGACGCGACAGCCCTTTTTCCCATTGAACGCCTTGAGGGTAAAACGCCTGCTTGACGGGCACAAACTGTCGCAAAAGACTGCTGAAATTGGAGCCAGACATGCGCAGAAGGACTGTCTGATGGAGCCAGAGGAGGAGCCGCGAAAATGAGCAGAGTCGAGCTTCCAATCAAACGCTTTATGTAAAATCAACTACGCCCCCCGAACTTCTCAGCATGCGTTTGCTGTCATATCAACACAAGTGGATGTAATAACGTTAACAAATATGAGGGTTTTATATATTCAATCGCGCCAGCTCCGGGCCGCAGCGCATAACTTACTCGCGGCGTCGCGGGCTGATTCCGGCTCGCATGCGGCAGCGCCTGCTCGCTTGGCCGCCGCATCTGGCTCGAGTGACTCGGGCTGGAATTGGGTAGTGAGTCCAGGCATCCGGAGTAGGTCCAGCAGAGGTAACATTAGTCAGTCTGAGCTCTAAGAGATAAGTCTCCGGCAGGCGAGAATCTAGCCGGAACTGTGTTTTGCTATCTGGGTGGCTAGGCGTGTATCAGCAAACTAATAAAGCCCGAAAAAGCCCTGAACTTAGCGAATAAACAGTGTTCCACCAGGATCATGTATGTCAGAAACTATAGTTTACTGCTGAACTCATTTTGTCATGGTAAAATAACACAGAAATCGAATAATAACACTTCAGTCTACTTCAGTCTCCTGCCGAAGCTCAGACGCCGCGCTTTGAGAAACTGTAAATCACAGCTGTCAATCACGATGACACGCCCAGCATTAAATTACTGCTAAAAACAAACTGTTTACAAAAATGAAGATCTGCACCTATTTCAGCACAATAACCAGTGCCTTAATCGACCAGAACTATCTTTCGGGACATTTTATTGCAAGTGTAATATTTTTTTTTATTTGGGCTCAAGTCTCCTTCATTAACACGGAGGAGGCGGGCTTTATGACTTGTACTGCAGCCAGCCCCCAGGGGGCGATCTAACGGCCGAAACCTTCACTCAAACGTAGGCTTGCGGCACACTTGGTCTCTACCCAAAGATGAAACCTCAGCATTATAACCAAGCAGTTGGAAACTTCTGGAAGCAACATGCTACAAAGAATACTTCATCTGAGTTTGTTAAAGGAAGGATCAGTAAAGAGTAACTGATGGACGTCAGGATGGGTTTCTTCCTACATTTCTCAAGTGTAAGTACGTGCGGTTAAAGTTGTTGCCTCGTTTACTCTAGCTTGCAAATGTATTTAGTTGTGATTTGTTACTTGTAACCGCGTGTACTGTATCAGGTTAACTGGATATATTATCTTATCGCGTGCAAAGTCACGTTAAAAACGCGACGCGTGCTGTTTGTTTATGGAGCTCCGTGCTAGAGTTCTGCTCCCGCGATTTATTCGGAAATGTATTCCCGCGCCGCAGAAATCTGGCGCGGGGAGAGAGAGAGAGAGAGAGAGAGCGGTAGGGAGAGCGAACGAACGAACGAGCTTTGTGTACTTTGTGCTGTGTGTGTGTTTTTATTCAGACAGCTTGGCTGTCTGGACTGTATACTGGGTGATATTTGGTTGTGTTCTCCGCTCTAGCGGGACCGGGCGCGGCGGGCAGAAAACGGAGCGGGTTCTCAGGCTAAAACCTGGCGGGTGCGGGCTGAAGCGGGAGCGTTGTCATCCGGAGGTGTGTGTGTGTTTTTGTGTGTGTGTGGTATGGCGAGTACACGACTGTCTCCTTCGTTCGGTTATCCGTGGCACTATCCACTCGCCATAGTGTGGCAGCTAATGTCCACGCCTACACTATCGAGCGTGTATGAACTGTGATTACTTTTTAAATTGCTGATTAGCAATTGGCCATTTCCCTCTCTGACTGAAGGCAGTCGACCAATCGCGACAGACTGTCATCGGCCCAATCAGCGCAGATTAGCTTCGCGCTAAGGAGGGGTTTGGGAACAAATGAATCACTGGACGATTCATACAGGAGTCGCTGGGATAATTAGATAAAAATAAATGCAGATTATAAGACCATGAAAGTGTTTTTTGACCTTGCATGCATATTAGACTGTTGTTGGAGACCCTTACAACCAAGATATGACCCTATTTCATGTATAATATGGGCTCTTTAATTTCTTTTACCTCCTAAAAGATGTCTGCAGTGCCTTATATAACATGATCAATAACCCTTTTTATTTACAGGATGCTTTAAATGTGCAGTGCTGAGCTGGGCTGTTAAATTGATAAATGAGTGTGTGCTTGAGAGATGCCGTAATAAAGTGTTATGATGTCTAACGCTGCTCTTGCCCCTTCATGCTGACCTGCCGTCTCACAGGAACAGGTGGAGGAGGATCCTGTGGCAATCCTAAAAGCAGACCATGCTGCTGCCGCTCATCCTAAGGTCTGCTTTCTGCTGTGTGTGTGCTGTAGTGACCCTCATAATCCCACCCTTGACCTGTTGTGTCAGACTTGCCCTTGTGTTGTGGAGTGTTGTGTTCTTGCCCATCCCATTTCATTGACAGCACCCAAACCCCAGAAATAGAGCTGCCTGCCGTTATCAGATCAGACAATCTGGCCAAATTAAATATGTGGGTTCATCTAACACTTAATTAGCATTGGATTGTTATTAAAGTTGCAGCCCGTAACATTTAAATGATATAAAATGAAATTTGGTAGACCAGCCAGTGTTCAAAATTGTCTTCTTACTTTAGCCCAATTCACAGTGGTGCGCTTGTAAATAATGTTTTATAATTGGAGTTGTATTTGTAGTAGGACTGCCTGGGTGATATGACAAACATCTCATATTACAGTATAATTTAATATACACAGTGCTCGAATTGAGGGGGGATGGCATCCCCCTTATGGACAAAAAATGACATCCCCTTTTAAACCCCACCTCCCCTTTACTATCCAGATCTATCCAGAGTGTATGTAATGTAAAACTTATCATGCACATTAAATATTAAAATGATCTATTTATGGTAATTTATGACTTATAAACAATGATGATTGACCAATCAGAACTCGGAATTGAAATAAGGTGCCATGCACAATCGCAATACAGTTCATTGCGTCATTTCGCACAATTTTCACAACATCTAAGAGAGCAGTTCAGAGACGCAACAAAGTTAATATCTAAGCTACGGATGATTTTTAGGTTCCCTGTTTCTAAAATGAACCATTATTATCCCTAAAATGACAACGTAAATGATGCAATGTATTTTTAGAATCACTGTTGTCCAAATGTCTTAAATGCTTTCAAACAGCTCAGCCGCTGTACATCTCCATTCCATGTTTTGTTTCTAAATGAATCTTGAGCTTTACATGAGACAATGATTCAGTTGTCCATTCAGAAAGACATTTGTGAATAAATCAGCTGTTTGAACAACTCAATTAAATGAATCATTCAGTGACAAAGACGAAGACTTGACTCCACCTATTGGTGGTTTTAGTTTAAAATCTCATGACAATATTATTAATTTCATTGTATTCATGCCATCTCCTATGCTTTGTTAACAGTCAGTTTATAAATAAACAGTCAATTTATCTAAATGCTAACTTAAAAAATGTTTTTTCTTGGCCATCTTTGTTGTGTCAAGAGGAATTTGTTGATTTAATGTGGTTGTAAGATGTTCTTTCTGATATTATTATTTTAGTTTAAATAAAATGTTGTCTCATGTTGTTTGGCCACCTAAGGTAAACAAAGGGTTATAAATAAAAAGGTAAATTTACAGTATATTTAGTCAATTAATTAGTTGCTAGTTGTCAAAGGCTTACATTGTCAATTAATTAATTGTCCCTTTTCATTTCACGATTTTCTTTAAAATGACATGCTTAGGATTGTTAATGGTTGGTGGTTATTTAAAAAAAGCTGTTTTTCAAATTAAAAATGTATTTAGAAATAGTTATTGTAAATTAGTGTAAAATTGTGCTTATTCAAATGACAAAAAAATGTTACAGTTAACATGCATTTTGCAACAGCACAGAATAAATAATAGCACATAAAGTGAAACAATCACTTTATGATATATATTATCATATTGCACAGGTAGATTTTGATGAAAAAAAGCGTGGTGCCATTTGTCCAACAATACAAATTAAATGTTTAATATTATATAAGCTAATTGGTCATAGTTTGATTTATTAGCTATTAGTATTTAGTTTTATTTATTCTTAGCAATACAGTTTTTTTTTTTTTTTACCTCAGTTACAAAAGTAGTGGAACTGTACTGTTTTCTGATGACATTCTCTGGTGAAAATTCTTGTTTGGGTGAAACTGAGTATAAAGATAGAATTAGTTCCTCCAAAATGCAGTATCCACATTGGCAAATATCCACAACTGCAGGTTTCAAACAGAGATGACAATAAAAGACACAAAACTTACAGGCTGCAGCTTTAACTTGCACTGAGAGTGGTCATACTGTAGTGTTTTCTACCCCTCCCGTACAACTGTAATTGTAGAGCGCACTGGTTTATCTTCAATCATAACACCTTATACTAACCAAACACCAGAGGAGAAGCATGTGAACTGGAACACAACTCCATCCCATCATGGATCACTGATATACTATCTCTCACTGTCAGCCCTTCGCCGCAGCAGAGTTCATGTTCAGACCAGTGTGTGTAGGTCAAGCATGAGTGCGGTGGAATCAGACATGCCCAGACAACCAGAACATCAGGCTTGTAATCTGACCCCGTCTATCATTTGAAGCCCGAGTTGGCTTCGTCTATACCTGCAGTTAAACTCAACCCCGTCTTGCATGACAACCCACCACATTTTAAGCTTATTTTCCAGTTTAGATGTTGGGGAACAATGCCTTTTTGTTAGCTGTACTGTCAGCAGACGTTTCCAATCAGGGTAAAAAGAACCATTAAATGATATTTATCCTCATCCCATAAGTGTGGACCATTGCATGGAGTGGGTTTAAAGCATCAGTGACATTGCTGCTGGTCAAAGGGCCTGTGTAAAGTCATCAATAATGAGTCTGACTGGTGTTGTTCTCTTTTACAGGTGAAGACCGAGGAGCAGATTGCTGCGGAGCAAGCATGGTATGGCTCGGAGAAAGTGTGGCTGGTCCACAAGGATGGATTCTCTCTGGGTTAGTATAAAAGCCATGCGAAATGATATCTATATTACTAGAACGCTGTTATTTTAAGTTGAAGACAACATGAAATAGCATTCCCTGCTCATTTAACTTATAAAATTTGACACATTTCTGTGTAAAAAAAGAACATTGAGCCAGAGTGGAATATAACGTCGTCTGGAGATGGAGAACGTTATTACATTTTGATGAAAGATTACGGAAACGTTTTCTTCTTTGGAATATTGTGCACTTATGTTTCACACAAAATAATACTGGGGACATTTATTATCAAAAGAAAATGGGGTCGATTTTGATTCTAACATAATGTGGGCTTCAATGGCAGGAGTATATTAAAAGACTATTACAATTCTGTTTCATTTTGATATTGTGTGCATTTCCTCAATGTTCTCTGTTGTCCTCGCAGCCACTGTGGTGAAGACAGAAGCTGGCAGTCTACCCGAGGGGAAAGTGAAAATCAAACTGGAGCACGATGGGACTGTACTGGATGTGGATGAGGATGACGTAGAAAAGGTCAGTCTTGCGATGCTCATCACATTACTGGCATTTCAGTATGCACACATAACATATTTTATTCAAGGGTTGTTATTAGATTGAAATGGATTCTATTTTAATGCATGTCATAGATTTCATTGTTTTTTTGTTCCCTGCAGGTTTTGACCTCATTAAAATAGCATAACTGAATGGAACCTTCAGTAACCTTATTACCAAAACAATTAAGATTTGTGTGTGTAAAAAAAAAAAAGTTATTTTCTGCACTGTTTTGAACTGCTTCTTCGAATCGCACAATTTAAATAGTCATGGTATAGGCTTAGAAGTAAACAACCTCTGATATCAGTGTCTAACAGTTTGGAAATGTAAAATAATTTAAAAGGGTCACTGTTTTTACATGCTGTTGTAAACCACTGTATGGATGTTTGACAACCTACTATCTTTTTAGACAGACGCTGCAATGATTTAGGGTAAAACTGCATAAATACCAAGTACACACATACCAAATGATCTTTAATAAGAGACTAAGCAATAGTTACAACACAAGACAGACAATTTTGAGTATAGCGCTGGGCTATATGCAAAAATGCAATCTTGATTAATTATTTTCCATATTGAACAATAACGTTCTATATTTGGATGTCAGTTGTTAATGCTTCCAGATTTAAAAGAGTATCCCAACACTGACTGAAGCCACAAAAATTAGAGGGTCCAAAACAAAACCTATATTCGGTGGTTGATCATTTTTGGCACATCACATTTCGGCACATGACTAATATCAGCACACTTCTAGATTCCCATTGTTGCACATTTCTGCTATATAATTGGCTCTCAGATCAGCATAGAATTAAAAAAGTTCAGAGCTTATTATTATTATCCACATCAGTTTTATTGCAATTCGATATATGCCCTACTCCTGCATTAGTGTTGGATATAATTTCATCAGCACAGCATTGCATTTTCAGCTTCATTAAATATAAAGTTAATATACTTCTATAAAATTCTGAGCTATCTTATTGTCTGCAAGCCATTTGTTTGCTTTACTTATTGTTAAGCTACTGTATATGGAAATTGGGGGTGGAGCTAAACATGCAGTGATAATCTGTGGTTGATCTGGAGTTTAGCAACATTGTCATGTAATATATTTGGAGAGAAAAGCATCAGTATGTGCCTATTTAGGAAATTCCTGAAGGGGCTGGCTCGATCAAGCCAAACACAATAGAAAAAGTCCAAAAAACCTGCACACTGCCACTTTACCTCTCGAAAGATATTTTATAATAGGGCAAGGCCTTCATTAGGTCAAACAGGAAATAATTAAAAAAAATTAGTTTTGACTCTCTGATATTCAAAGCAAGTTCATTAAAAAAACTCGGTTATATATGCATTAAAAAACATTCAGGAAAAAGTGTTTTATGTCAATTCAGACCATGAGTCACACATATATGGACATAATTTTTATTTTTATTTTTATTCTAATTAAGTTCCAATAAGCCCAAATAGCAAAGAGAAATAAAAAATGCATGTAAAAAAAAACACTTTGGGCTTTAAGAGGATATAGTATGGAAGTATGCGATTTCGAATTCAGCCATAGTCAAACTTTACACATCACACTTGCAAACAATAATCATCCCAATTAACCAATGAGTAAGTAAAGAAGAACAAAATACACAAATTGAAAAAAACTGAAAACGACAGCAAAAATATATACACACACATACACATAGATACATACATAAACATACATACAATTGCAAAAACTTTTCAACTCAAAATCCAAATTCAACCCCCTAGGAGACAAAGTATTTAATGTGTGAATATAAAAATTCCTGTCGTTTTGGCAGATTGGCTTTAATATAGTCTATTTTTGAACCAAAGATTAAGCTTTGGGATTGGACATTTGCAAGATGTTTTGTTTGCCGTTATTTTTGTACTGAGTTCATTACTCTTTAAGCACACAAGTTGTTCTTTCTTTTTAAATTTAATTGAAAATAATTTCAATTTAAAATATTTTATTTTAGCTTGTTTTTGACTCCAATCTTAAAATGGAGCAGAAGCCATGCAGTACATTCAGAGATTGCCCATTCACAATGGAAAACAGTGATTCTTTTTGTCTGTGCAGTTGAGCATCAGAATATCTGTGTGTTTTGATGAATCTTCAGGTCAGCAGGGCTCGTGCAGTGGGTTATTTGCGGAACTCGGCTACTATCTGGCCTGAAACCAAAGTCATGTGAGGGTTAGACAGGCACAGGTGGTAGAAAATGATGCCAGGATATGGGTCATAGAGAAACAGGTGGGATTTGGCCTGATTTTTAAACCAGACTCGCATACAAGTTTTAATAGAATCGTTTGGCAGGTCAGCACAGCCATTTTCAGTGTTTGCACTGTTCTGCCTTGATGAGACATATGCTGGGAGATATTGTCACTTCACTTTCTGCTTGGCACAGTGTTTTATGCCTCCCGGTGAAGGGCAGCTCTAAGCTGATCATTTCCATAATGTCAAGACTGACCTCTAATCAAGTTTTTGAACCATCTGTTTGAGGAGGGAGTTGCGAAGCTGGATTCAGAGTTGAGCTTGACAACTTTTTAAATTGCATTAAAGACTTGGCATCCAGTCTTGAGGCTATTACGACTTAGGCACATCAATTTAAAACCTCTTACACTCTCTCTTTTTTTTTGTCATATTAAGGAGATTTCCCACTCTTTTAATTCATCAGCAGTCAGCTTATTAAGTTCTGTGACCTGTAATTTTTGATCCCCCTCAATCCAGGCGAACCCGCCGTCATTTGACCGCTGTGAGGACTTGGCAGCTCTGCTCTACCTGAATGAATCTAGTGTCATGCATTCCCTGCGTCAGCGCTATGGAGGAAACCTCATCCACACACACGCCGGGCCCAACATGGTGATTGTCAACCCTATCAGCGCCCCATCCATGTACTCCGAAAAGGTGAGACCCCTGCATCCAAATATGACTTTGTGTTATGTAGCATCCAAAAATGCAATCAATTGTGAAAAAACCTGCTTTCTTTCATGTCCTAACCATAGACTGTAAGAGATATGGATGTAGTATCCGCAATGTCAACCATGGGTTTTTGAAGAACACAAATAAAGCTACAAGTAGGCGTGGCCAACCGTCACCATTTTGTTTGCGTGTCATCGCACCGACTGGGGTTTATCTAAAAAGGCCAGAGGCGGAGCGTGAGCAGAGCTACAGAAGCCTGCTAGTGTTTTGCTCGTTTATGTTCTGACCACATGTGCTTTGTTGTGTACTATACTGTACTATTTGTGAATTACTTTCAAATACTTAAAATAAAGTCTGTGTTAATAAATGCAAGGCTGTTTATGGAATCCAGGCATAAAACTGTATGACAACATTTCAGATGACTGTTTGATAGCCTACAGCTAACCAATCTGTCAGATTTTGGAGTGCGTTACAGGTCTAAAGAAAAATAGAAATGATACATGATCTTAAAAAAAACAAATATATTTATAGATATTGTATACAAGTATATAATTTCTCTGACCTGGGAAATGGAGGCAACTTGAATGGTTTGTGAACACAAGTGCACAGCATGCCATATTTTTTGATAATTGTAGGAAAAAATTCCAAAAAGCAATTGACAGTGTAAATCTAACAAAAAAAGCCACATAAAACAAAACAAAAATACGATATATATGCCGAGTTCATGGGCTAATCAGCTGGAATCAGCTGAAATGACGTGGCGGTGATCAGTAAGAGCTGTCACTCAAGTGGCCACGCTCTTAATTATGCAGACCTAATATAACTTAATAAAAACGAAACCGATGAGTTATAAAAAAAATTCAAGGATAATATTAGTTATGTGCATCAAAACCATCTTTTTACCAGGCTGTAAACATGTTTTTATCAGCTGTAAAATTGGCCAATTTAGCATTGTAGCCAGTGAATATTTGGAGATCCTGGAGCCAGCCCCCAAAGGCGAGTCAGTGAATTGCAGTTTCAATTACATCCGTATTGGCTTCACGAGGTAAAGCGGGATGTAGCCGCTTGGTCCTAACTTGACGTAACGTGAAGTGACAAATTTGCTACAAACAATTAGTCTGTCTACCCATACACAATGCGACACTACAGAAACATTTAAATGAACCCACTACACTGGAAAGTTTTGTAATCTGTATGAAACTAACGCAAGGTACAGTCTATTCTGTCAAACGCACATCACATAATAGCAGCTATTCAAATCACCCAAAAAACTTGTAAACAAAGAGTCTCTGTTTTTCCTGGAGGAGATTCGCCATGTAGCATCCTGGTTAAAACAATGATCAGCTCTTTCACTAATAGTTCACAATTCAGTTATTGTTCACATTCTATAAAACCATTACACAATAAAGTATCATGATGAACCACTGTAAGAACTAGAGAGAAAAAAAAAAGTGAATCTCGAAAGTTGAAGCACTATACCAACAATCAACAAACTTTAATCAACGCTAGAAAATAAAACTCATAAATGGGGGAATCCATGATTCAGCCCCATACCCAGGGCCGGCGCGTCCATAGAGGTGACCTAGGCGGCCGCCTAGGGTGGCAGAATAGAGGGGGCGGCGTCCCCAACACTGCCCTCACCCCTCCGCGCCATCAGTTATATCCGCATCTAGGGCGACAGAATAGAGAGGGCAGTGTCCGCTCACTACCCTCACCACCTGCGCCCTCAGATATATCTGCGTCTAGGGCAACAGAGTAGAGAGGGCGGCGTCCGCGACACTACCCTCTTCACCCACACTCCAAACCCCTACCCGCTTTCACTTTAGGGTTGAGGGCAGCGTGACCATCCTTTACCTAGAGCAGCAGTTCAGCTTGCTCCGGCCCTGTCCATACCTATGCCTTGTTGGTGTGTTTTACCTAGCTTACCATGTTTAGCGTTATCCCATTCACCTCCTCAGCATCTCCTCTCTGAATGATCTCGCTCATAAATTCCTTTTACTGTTTCTTATACCTTTCATCCTTTGTCATCCTTCTCTTGAGCCATCCTTTTCTTAGCCACAGCCAATTGTTTGCTACTTGGTAGAATAAGCATTTCTTAGGCATCTCATAATGCCAATGCACATTTTTATGAATGCCTTCTTTCAAGAATGTGATTCTCTCTTCACTAATGACCTTGAAGTCAGTTTTAAGAACGTCAAACATTTAGAAATAAAGTATGAGACGGTTGTTCTTTAATTTTATTGGTGATTACAAATAAGTAATGTAATCGTAAGCTTGGCAAACAGTTTTGGATAATTTGATGTTTCCTCATTCAGACAGAATGCCCGAGCACACTGCCCGAGAGGCGTTTCAAAGATGGCTGTCAAATGAAATGACTTGCCTTAAAGGGGCTTTGATTTTGATCAAAGTTTGAAATTAATGCACCTTCCCCAGACGTTAGTAGTATCCATGGCAACTGCTTTGAGTGACAGTTCAGTGTAGTGGAACGCACATGTTCAACATAAATGGTGAGGGTTATAATCTAATTTAGACTCTATTTAGTTCTATTCAAACTAATGTTTGTCGCATTTAATATCGATTTAATCACTGATGGTTAAGACAAAACCCATTTTAACATGAAAAAAAAACACCATTTACCACATGTTGCTCTGCCGTGTGAAGGAATGTAATGCATTATGGGTACTATATTTTATACAGCTGTCCCTTCATCAGTTAAACGCATTGGGAAATGTGCGACTGAAATCTGCTAATGAGCTTTATTGGATTACATGCAAGATAAACTACTACCCATAAAATGCAATCACAATCCAGAGGAGAGGTTTTTTTTCGGTCATCGGTCCCAATTAAATGACTTTGCATTATGGATCAAGCTAATTAGGGGCTGTGTGGAGTGTTTTGTGCATTCTGAAGCTGAAACTATGATGTATTTGACAATGTTATTGCATTTGTGCTGGAGAGGCAGTCCACGACAAGTTTCTTTTCAAATTAACAGCTATTGATTTCCCTTTCATTGGAAAATGAATGTTTATTGGTTTGCATTTGAGGCTTTACGGTTTTATTATTGACTTTTCTGTTGTACAGAAAAATAAACACTGTAATACATTTAGATTGTTCGATTATTAGCTTGGCCTGTAAGCTACTTGCTTTCCTTTTTCCCACAGTGATCTTCATTAAGCAAGTCTCTTGACTTGGACAAGAGGCATTAAGGATATTAATGTGTTTGTTAGTGAGCTTGAAGTTTATTTTTCTTTTTGTGGTTTCAGGTGATGCACATGTTCAAAGGCTGTCGACGGGAGGACACGGCTCCTCATATATATGCAGTGGCCCAGTCCGCCTACAGAAACCTTTTGACAACACGACAGGACCAGTCCATCGTGCTCTTGGGAAAGAGCGGCAGTGGCAAGACCACAAACTGCCAGCATTTAGTCCAGTACCTGGTGTCTATAGCAGGCAGCACTGGAAAGATCTTTACGGGTACGTATGGAAAATTTACCCGTACTAATCGCTATAGTTTTTATTTTATTTTATTTTATTTTATTTTATTTTATTTTATTTTATTTTATTTTATTTTATTTTATTAAATTTTATTGAATTTTATTGATATATATGAACCTAATTCCGAAAAGATTATATATGTTTAAGCCTCCATATTTTTTGTAATATATTTTAGCTTTTTAATTTAAATTCAGTTTGAGTTTTTATTTATTCTACACACGCAGAAATAAAAGAACAAAAGCTGGCCTTGGGGTAGTACCTTTTTAAAAAGTACAGTTTAGTACCCAACAGGTGCACATTGGTACCATAAAGGACATTTTTTGTAGAGTAGGGTACGCTTTTGAACCTTTTTGGTCCCCAACCTTTTTATCACCGTGGAACAATCAAAGCTTACAATTTTACTGTGGACCAGGGAGGGTAGCGGAGGTGGTTTGTAGGTTGCTAGGTGACTGTCAACCGTTTTCTCAGAGGATGACAAGTTGACAAAACATTGCTGTCACTCGGATACAAGTTTTAAAGAGAAAATTACAGAGCACGAGTGTTCTGTGTTTTTTTGAGATTTAGTCTACCGAAATGTGTATATTTCTTACAAAGTATGAATGTGATCGGTCAGTTCTTGTCACTCGCTCGTGCTTGTGGCATTCATTCATGGGTGCATCTGGAAGACATGAGTGTGCACAAACCACAAACCTCCACTGGAAATAACGAACTTGTGCGAACTTTAGTTAAGATGTAATTCGCGAACGGCCCCTAAAAGCCCGCCCTCATTTGCAATATCCGA